TGTTCTACCCGCACCACCCCCATCCTTCCCCACGGCTCCCCGCACGCCTCCAACACCGCCACACTTCCATCTCTTCCCTCGGTCTCCTCCGTGAGCGTGCGGAATAACCCCACGCTTTACGGCCTACCTTCACCGCTCAACTCCGTCGCGCCATTGCTGACGCCGCAACCTGCAAACGAAACTCACCACACACACACCACACCAAACAACTCAAATTTTCACCGTACCTCCCGTTTCCATCTTCCTTCTTCCTGCCGGTCGCGTCGTCTGTCCACGACCTCCTTCCCTCTCCCTTCTCGCTCCCCTCCGCCCCGACTCTCTCCTCTCTCCTTCTGGAACTTTCCTTCCCTCTTCTTCTCCGCTCCCCTCTTTCCCTCCTTTTCTCTCTTTTCTCTTTTTTTTCCTTTTTCTTTTTTTTCCTCTCCTCTTCTCCTTTTCCCGACCTCCCTTTATACCCTGCCAGCCTACCCAAAACGACGTCGTTTTCCCTCATCCCAAAACGACGTCGTTTTTTTTTCTTTCAAAACGACGTCGTTTTTCCCCTCTTTAAAACGACGTCGTTTCCTACCTATTAGAAATTTATTTATTTATTTATTTATTTATTATTATTATTATTTTTTTTTCTTTTCTTTTTAGTCCTTACATAACAAAATTAAGACATATACATATACATATACATATATATATGTTCTTATTGTGAGCATAAAATGTATCCACATGAAAAATAAAATAGAAGAAAAGGGTTTTTTTTATTTTTTATTTTTTATTGATGCATTGTTTGAAATAATTAAATTACAAGATAATTAAGAGGCTAACACAACATATTTCCTTTTGCCTTCCTCCTCCTAATAATAATAATAATAATAATAATAATAAAGAAAGAAAGAAAATACAATATTCATATTTATTAGAATTACATTTGTGTATATATATATATGTGTGTGTGTATATATATGTGTGTGTGTGTGTATATATATGTGTGTGTGTGTGTGTATAGTTAGGGGAAGATAATTAATGGAAGATGGTTTACTGGGAATTATTTAATTAATCCCTCTTCCCTTCATGACCTATTTCCTGAGACCAGGAATATGAACATTTGTAATGTAATCTTTCTGCCCCGGGTTCACCATCCCACCAGAATCA